CACTAAACTATTTCCTAATACTTGAAACAAGCAGAGATAATTATGCTAAATAATTTCTTTCACCTGAAACACACAAAGATAATCATACTAAACTAATTCCTTATAATTATAACACACAGAGATAATCAAATTAAACTATTTCCTGATACTTGTAACACACAGAGTTAATCACACTAAACTAATTCCTCATAACTGTAACACAAACACACACAATAAACTATTTACTGATAATTGTAACACACAGATGTAATCATACTAATTTAAACCCTGATACTTGTAACACACAGAGTTAATCACACTAAACTAGTTCCTGATAATTCTAAAACACAGAAATAATCATACGAAACTAATTCCTAAAAATTGTAACATAATCACACTAAACTAATTCCTCATAACTGTAACACACTCAGATAATCACACTAAACTACTTCCTGATAATTGTAGCATACAGAGATGATCATACTAAAATATTTCCTGATACTTGTAACAAACAGAATTAATCATACTAAACTACTTCCTGATATTTGAAGCAAGCAGAGATAATCATACTAAACTAATTCCTAATACTTGTAACAAACAATAATAATCATACTAAACAAATTCCTCATAATTATAACACACAGAGATAATCACACTAAACTATTTCCTGATACTTGTAACACATAGAGATAATCATTATAAACTAATTCTTGATACTTGTAACAGACAGATTTAATCACACTAACCTAATTCCTCATAATTCTAACATACACAGAGATAATCACACTAAACTATTTCCTGATAATTGAAATACACAGAGGTAATCATACTAAACTAATTCCTGATTCTTGTAAAAACCAGAGTGAATTATAATAAACTAATTCCTGATATTTGAAACAATCAGAGTTAATTATATTAAATTAATTCCTGATACTTGTAACAAACAAAGTTAATCATTATAAACTAATTCCTGATACTTGTAACAGACAGATTTAATCACACTAACCTAATTCCTCATAATTCTAACATACACAGAGATAATCACACTAAACTATTTCCTGATACTTGTAACACATAGATATGATCACACTAAATTAATTCCTGATACTTGTAACACATAGATATGATCACACTAAATTAATTCCTGATACTTGTAACACATAGAGATGATCACACTAAACTAATTATTGATAATTGTAGCACACGGAGATAATCATACGAAACTAATTCCTGATACTTGTAACAAACAGAGATAATCATTATAAACTAATTCTTGATACTTGTAACAGACAGATTTAATCACACTAACCTAATTCCTCATAATTCTAACATACACAGAGATAATCACACTAAACTATTTCCTGATACTTGAAACACATAGTTATGATCACACTAAATTAATTCCTGATACTTGTAACACATAGAGATGATCACACTCAACTAATTCCTGATATTTGAAGCAAGCAGAGTTAATCATACTAAACTACTTTCTACTACTTGTAACACACAGAGATGGTCACACTAAGCAATATTCTGATAATTGTAAAACACAGAGATAATCATACTAAACCAATTCATCATAATTGTAACACACAGAAGTAATCATAATAAACTAATTCCTGATACTTGTAACAAACAGAGTTCATCATACTTAACTAACTCCTGAAATTGTGCCACACAGAAATGATCACACTCAATTAATCCCTAATACTTGAAACAAGCAGAGATAATCATACTAAATAATTTCTTACACTTGAAACACAAAAACACATTCATACTAAACTAAATCTCGATAATTGTAACAAACATAGATAATCATATTACACTAATTCTTGAAATTGTAACACACAGAGATAATCACACTCAACTAATTCCTGATATTTGAAGCAAGCAGAGTTAATCATACTAAACTACTTTCTACCACTTGTAACACACAGAGATGGTCACACTAAGCAATATTCTGATAATTGTAAAACACAGAGGTAATCATACTAAACTAATTCCTGATACTTGTAACAAACAGAGCTAATCATACTAAACTACTTCGTGATACTTGTAACACACGGAGATGATCATATTAAGCTAATTTCTGATAATTGTAAAACACAGAGATAATAATACGAAACTAATTCCTGATACTTGTAACTCAAAGAGGTAATCACACTAAACTAATTCCTGATACTTGTAACACAAATATTTAATCACACTAAACTAATTCCTGATAATTGTAACACACGGAGATAATCATACTAAACTAATTCCTCATAATTGAACACACACAAATAATCACACTAAACTATTTCCTTATACTTGTAACACACACAGAGTTAATCATACTAACCTAATTCATGATACTTGTAACACATAAATATGATCATCCAAAACTATTTCATGATACTTGTAACACACAGAGTTAATCCTACTAAACTACTTCCTCATACATGTAACACCCCTAGATGATCACACTAAACTACATCCTGATAACATTAACATACAGAGGTAATCACATTAATCTAATTTCTGATAATTGTAACACACATAGGTAATCATACTAAGCTAATTCCTCATAATTGAACGAAGAGAAATAATCACACTAAACTAATTCCTAATAATTGTAACACACAGAGTTAATCATACTAAACTAATTCCTGATATTTATAACACAGAGAGATAATCATACTAAACTAATTCCTCATAACTGTAACACACCCAGATAATCACACTAAACTTCTCCCTGATAATTGTAACATACAAAGATGATCATACTAAAATATTTCCTGATACTTGTAACAAACAGAATTAATCATACTAAACTACTTCCTGATATTTGAAGCAAGCAGAGATAATCATACTAAACTAATTCCTAATACTTGTAACAAACAGACTTTATCATACTAAACTAATTCTTGATACTTGTAACACATAGAGTTAATCACACTAAACTAATTCCTGTAATTGTAACAGACAGAGATATTCGCACTAAACTATTTTCTGGTACTTGTAACACACAGAGTTAATCATATTAAACTACTTCGTGTTACTTGTAACAAACAGAGCTCATCATACTAAACTAATTCCTGATATTTATAACACAGAGAGATAATCATACTAAACTAATTCCTCATAACTGTAACACACCCAGATAATCACACTAAACTACTTCCTGATAATTGTAACATACAGAGGTGATCATACTAAAATATTTCCTGATACTTGTAACAAACAGAATTAATCATATTAAACTACTTCCTGATATTTGAAGCAAGCAGAGATAATCATACTAAACAAATTCGTACAATTAAAACACACACAAAGATAATCATACTAAACTAACTCTTGATAATTTTAACACAGAGAGATAATCACACTAAACTAATTCCTGATACTTGTAACATATAGAGTTAATCACACTAAAGTAATTGCTTATATCTGTAACACGCATAGTTAAACACACTAAAGTAATTGCTTATATCTGTAACACGCATAGTTAAACACATTAAACTAATTCCTGATATTTGTAACACAAGAGTTAATCACACTAAACTAATTTCTGATAACTGTAACACGCAGAGTTAAACACACTAAACTAATTCCTAATACTTGTAACACAAGAGTTAATCACACTAAACTAATGTCTGATAACTGTAACACGCAGAGTTAATCTTACTAATTTATTTCCTGATAATTCGAAAAAACGTGAGGTTAATAAAGTAGACAAATAATAACTTACGGAATTCGTTACCTCATAGGCGTGAAGTAAGAAACAAAACCAATATTATCTATTACAACAATCAAATGTGAATATAAATACAAATGATCAATGAAATAGCTAAATCAACAGTTAATTATTAAAAATTAAGTTAAAAATAATGGAATAGCCTTTATTAATGATACTTATGTAGTGACACTCAATAAAAATGTACTTATAATGAACCATTTCAACTCTTGCATATTGTGATGGTTACCTTAATTAATGCGTGGTTTAACAAGCTCCAATAAACAAGTTTATTTATCCAATGTATTTCATTCTAACAAAAGATTATTAGTAAAGATTATTTTAACAAATTATCCAAGCTAGATTTCCATTGTAAAGTACTAATAGGAAAAATAAATTTTCTTGAAATGGATCATCTAAGCTATGTATTTTTTGCACATAATTACCCAAATTAAAGGGTTAATATTATGGATTAGTTAAAGTATAATCTATTATCTATTAAATTACCCAAGCAATACTGTAATGAACCTATTAATGTAAGAGACATTTTATTGTTGTACATTATAATGCATTACACGTCGAAAGTGATATTTTAATATATTACTAGATATATGATATTCTTTATCGTAATAGACTACCTAATAAACAGGTTATTATTTTAGCTTACTTAGAGTAAGTGTTGTTTAAACTAATTACTCGAGCGAATGTTATTGTAATAGACTATCTAATATAAGGATTATTATATTAGCTTCCCTAGCGTTTTTACTTGTATAGATAAAGGGGGTTGATTTTTACTAAGTACAAAGCTACACAGCAGGTTATTTGTGCCGTGCCAACCATGGGTATCGAAACCCAATTTTTAGCGTTGTAAACCTGGAAACTTACCTACCGCTTAGCCACTTATTTGCGTCATGGATCACTGATTTTTATCTTTTTAAATTTTTGAAAAAAGCTCATGCTTGCATTATTCATGTATATCTGTATTTCATGAAATATCGATCAGTTGTGAGAAACAGAAAGTAATGTGAAATAATTACAATATTCTCTCTATATATATATGCCCACCAGTGGCTGAGCGGTAAGTTTTAAAGCTTATAACCCTTATAATCTTGTCTCGGTACCCGTGGTGAGCACAACACAGATATACCATTGTGTAGCTTTGCGCTTAACAACAAACAAACACCATGTATATATATATATATATATATATATATACACGACCCAATAAATTGTTTACGTTTTTTTATGTACACTATCAACGTATACAGTGAAAGAAGCGCTATTAATATCTTAAACAATTACTTACCGCTTGGTAAATCGTAAGTCGTCTTTTGTAGTGATTTCTCAGAGAAAATTGATAAACAAACTGTAGTCGCTGTTGTTGGAGTGTCAACTGCCACGTGGGAGTCTGTGCGTTCATTCACTAAACGACGGTTGTGGTCGTTTTTATCGTCAACCTTACCGAAGTTTTCTTACGTCATGAGCAGGCTCCGTTTTTCTAATCGTCTTATTGGTTAAACGCCCTGTCACATAGAATTTTATTTCAACCATACGTAATAAGCATACTTATCATATGACCAATTACAAGGAAGTATAAGTCTAAAAGAATCGCTTTGTCATTATTAAGCACAAAACTACACAATGGGTTATCTATGCTCTCTTCACCACGGGTATCGAAATCTGAATTTTAGCGTCGTAAGTCTACAGTCTTACCGCTGAGCCAGTTCGTTTTGTTTAGACTAGTATACTTTTATTACTGGGTTCAATAGATTGATCTGTATATTAGGGTCCTGAACATAACTAAAGACTATGAAACAGTTGATCATTTCTTTATATAACCTCTTGAATGCTTTGCTGGCAGAAGATGAGCAAAATATTGTTTTCATAGCATGAAAATAGAATGTAACTGAAATCTCAGAGTCGCCAAAGCATATTTAGAATAGTTGTTTACCTTTAAGCTTTTCATTCGCAGGCTTCCAATATGTTCTTGATGATTTACGAGTAAATGGTTAAGGTTATTTTTCTGTTTATTGCAGTTTTAAAGGCATTTAAACTAAATCTAACATAAAGCGAAGTAAAACATTAAAATTACATCTAATATACGGAGAAGTAAAACATGAAAACTACACCTAACATAAAGCGAAATAAAACATTAAAATTACATAATTACATCTAATGTAGAGAGAAGTAGAACATTAACACTACAAGTAACATAAAGTGAAGTGAAACATTAAGCTATACGTAATGTAAAGCGAAGTAAAACAGTAAACAATAAAATCAGTTAAAGCCACACCTAACCTAAAGTGAAGTAAACCATTAAAATTACATCTAACATAAATTGAAATAAAACATTAAAACCACATCTAATGTAAAGTGAAGTTGAATAATAATTTACTGTTTTAAAAGTTCAGTACCTACTACAATATCGTTATCAAAGGTAAAATGTGAAAAAAAGTGGATATACTTTTTTTAATTTGTTATTAATTTTTTAGGAGTGCAATAATTAAATTGCACAAAACAGATACTGCTACTCTTGGCTTAATAGCTAATAATTCAACAACCTAATTTATCATAGAGTCGGTAGACTCTATATGTAGGGATTTCCAAAGTACTCTGTATACATAGTGCAGATACACGCTAAAAAATCAACAGAGTTTTACTTTAAAAGATGATTGCCACTCACTTTCATTTGTTTCTCTACCCAACAAGCCTAAATACAAGGAAAGAAACCAAACCAGAAAATGACCAACCTACCATTTTTGTTCATCTTCTTCTGCTTCTTTCAGTCGAGATAACTCTACAACAACTTTATCACTAACGTCAGTTTAAACCTAAATCCACTCTATGTGTTTCTGGTCAGTGCATGATGTCATCGCTTAGATTTAATAATAACTAGTAATCAAAAAACAAAAAATATCATAATTCTAACGTTAACGATGTTATCATTACCCCTTGAAGTTAACTATTTTACAGACATTTGGTGTTCCTTAAAAAGTTTAAGTACATGGTGGGCAGGAATTATCAGCCAATAACAGATAAACATTAGATGACTGTAACATGTAGAATACTCAATGCTTTATACATTATACAATCGGTGTTTTTAGAGAGCCAACCATATATTATGTATGAAATGAAGAAGTAAAAAAATCAATACACATAATATTAAAGTTTATTACATACTTTCATATAATACACTAATTTTCAGTCAGAGGAAAAAATGTCACCCAACAAGTAATAAAAAACATTTTGTAAATGTAAATTGATGTATGGATGGCAGTGCCAAAAATAATGAAAACAAGAATTAGGGATGATACAGCTATAAATAGATCATCCGTACATGACTTTCAATATTAAAATCTAATATTACACTGTAAAATGCATACTTAACTTTAATATCACTACAGTTGGAATTTATATATTCCTGAATGTTGGTATGCAGTTTGTTTATCGTAATATCATGGTCATTTCAAGGTAGACATCAATGTCGTGTAACTAAGAGCCTAGGACATACGTACAAAGAAAACCAAGTTGAGTAAAAACATGTCTTGATTATTACAAACTCTCGCTATAAGGTCGGTCAATTAGACCATTTTGTACACATGCATTTTACACTATAACATTAAATTTGAATATTGAATGTCTTTAGGGATGATCTATGTATAGCTGTATCATCCTTATTTTCCTCTTTGCATTATTTTTGTTACTGCCATTCCTACATCATTTTACACATACAAAACGTTTTTCTTACTTGTATAGAATACATCGTTATATTATCGTTTTGTACACATGAATTCAAATGTTTTGTCTTTATGGAGATGGTTTTTAAGTAAATTATGTTATACAGTGTTCACTTTTAATACCTTAATAATAGCCTTTGAAGCATATTTCATCTAAAACAACCAACGTACAATCACTTCATCAGTGAACGTAATGCTCAGGTAACAGCATAATTTTTAGAAAGAGCTATTGTCAAACTTTTAAAGATGCAACTTTAGAATCTAGCTTAGAAATAGCATGCTAATTTTCATATTTTCATTCTTGTATGGACTCAGTTTATATGGTAAAGATTATATTTATCCTCAGTGGCGCGTAAAAACAAGAAAATATATCTTGTTTAATATGTTAATCAAACAAATTATTTCAAACTTTAAGAAGTTTGATTGCTAGATGTAAAGTTACCCATTCTACTGAAATATGCTTGTCTCCTCTTTTTGTCTTAATTATCTCCATTTAAAGTTGTTCAAGTTAAATCTTACAAGCACTTTAAAGAGCTGTTTGGAGCTTTTCTTTTAAATTATTAGGGAAAACTCTATTTTATGAAAGACATAAATTAGCTGAAAAAAGCTGCTTGGAAATAGAAGAACAGCTCTTGTTAGAACAATATCATAATTCGGTTACATTTCGCGTGGTTCTAAATTGTTCTTCGCCTCTATATTTGTATCCATTGAGAAAAAAAATTTAGGTTAGATAAAATTATTTTAAAAAGTTGGTTAAACTTATCTTCTCTAGTAATTTTTCGCCGTATCTGTGGCGTCGTTCTTACTAAACGAACACAAAGATTTAAAAAAAAGGAAATCTACTGAACTGAAATACTTGTGAATAAAGAACACAGATAAACCTCTCAAAATTTGTTTTCAGACATATCTAGCGTCATGATAAAGTCCCCAGTCCACTTATAGAAAACGTACAACATAAAAGAATATTTATACTGAAAATTTCAGTTACTCTAAAGCTGATCTACATTTACGAGATCGAACTTCAGTAAGTTTACTATAATGCCACGTCTACGCTGAATGTTCTTGTCAAATCAGTCTAATGTACTTGGACAATATCTGGATATTATCATATGACATGCAAAACAGACATTTACCATCTGTAATATGATAATGGAAATAAGCTGTCATAAGGGGATAAACATTACTGCTCTCGTTGAGTTATAGGGAAGAAAATGAATTTCTTTAAGGACTGTCAGAAACTAATTATCTACAGAAATCAGAGATAATATTAAATCTAGAAAGTGAAGTGTAACAGAAATAAAAACTCGATTAACTCTGATGTAAAATATGTCAGCTACCACTTTTACCCCAAAGTAAACTCTTATTAATCCTTTAGTGCTGTCCTCCAATTATTCATTCCCATATTTTACAACAATACAAATATTGTTCTATTATAATATTTATATAATTTATGAACATATATGGATTAATGTTATATGTTAATGAAATTTGTAACAGTAACTACTTAAATAGAAAAGTAAACAAATACTTACAAGTTAGGATATTAAACTAATATCTATAAGACGTCTATCAAAAAGATTCGCATAAAATTAAAAACACCACACCAGAATTTTTTTTTTCTGATTGGGTTTAGGGATATGAGAAGATTTAACTTTTAAAGCAAAAATAGCAATATCTGTGTAACTGCTGTTATGTACGATGTATTAATATAATATGAGCAATTTTGTCACGTGTGTGAACATTAAATGAAGTAGAATTCATTCAGTTTAATGTCGTTGGGGATGGTATTTTCACATATTAGTCATTTCTATATATTTGGAGTTCTAAATTAATTGGGAATTTATTTTATTTTTTAGCATTATTATTTACCATGCATACATTTAGTGCTCTACATCATCTGTTACAAGCGGAAATGAATTTAAACAACAGTTGTTACAGTTTGAATGCCTTTTCCAAGCTGGCGAAGCATGATTATAATTAATTTTAATTGTCATAAGTCATTAATGTTAAGCCTATTATATTTATAACAGTGCATTCTTTATCTTGACCAATTAGGACTAGATAAGGTTTGTTTGTCTTTGTTTTGTTTCAGAATATCGCGCAAAGCTACACGGGGGCTACCCGCGCTAGTCGT